CCAGCCCTGCCTGGCTTCGCCCTGGCCCGCCTCCTCCACCCCTCCAAATCTCTCTTCCTCCATCTCTTTAGAAATGAAAGGCCAACAAGATTTGCTTCCAGCCATCATTGCAGCACATTTCTTATAAACCTCACACAGTGGAATTATTTATCTGCCCACGTGTGGGCAATGAGTATGACTCATTCTGTAAATCCCTCCATGGTAAAAATATTCCATCAGAATGAAACTTGTCAAGGAGACACCATCTGTTTTCCAAGCCACTCTTTTTTTTAGGTGGTTCCTCAAGTAAGTTTTGTTGTACTAGTAGCAAATACTTATGTCGAGATGAGGAAACCAGGCAGAGAGGGGTTGAGAAACTTGTCATTATTATTATTATTATTATTATTATTATTATTATTATTACAGCCCAGATGCCTCTGTGCTCTTTGTTACACTGTGCCACCCCTCTCTGTGGCATTTGTGAATATAGGTCTCCCTGCCCCCACGTGCCAGGCACCAGCATGCCCTTATACCTCCGCCTTCAGCCTGCACACCTGCCTCCTACCACCACATAGCCTTTTCCTTTATTTCCTAGCCACCAGATGTCGCTTTGACTCCAGTAGAAAGCTCTTTTTGAAGCAAAGCAGCTGTAGCTTCTGCCAAAATCTGGCCAAGTTTGAGCCCCATACGATTTAACAAGTATTTATTTAAAAGCTTAACTTGATACTGGGTACTGTGAAGCCCTTTTAAAAAGCATAAGTGATCTTTCTTACTATCAAGTACCTAAGGAGAGTAGACGCCAAAAAGCTGAAATGCTACATGAGTCACTGCCCAAAGATGGTTGAAGGGAACACTGTCAAAATGATCGCCACGGTCTACACTAGAGTGTAAGGCTCATCAGGACTGGGCCCTTGATGGAAACTTACAGGATGGATAAGGTGGATTTGGGTCTGTGGGGCAGGCATGGTAGGGCATTTCAGAAAACAGTGTGGACAAAATGACAAAGGAACAATATTAGCAAGTCATGTTCAAGGCACATATCTGAGGAGAAGGTTGGTCTTTAGACTGCTGTCTCTCTCCTCTGATAACCCAGCCAGTCAACTCTCCCCCTCTTCGGAACACCCTCTCCTGATCTAGTCAGGCAAGTCTGGCTTACGTCGCTTGAATCAGCCATGCTTTCTTGTTATCCTTCATGTCCAGGATTATAGTCTGCAAGCCTACGAAAAGGTGGTGACATTTACCACAATGGGAAACCAAAAGATGGGATGGTTTCAGGGGAGGGCGGAGGAAGGTACCTCAGTGAAGCTTGAGATGACAATGGAATTTTCTTTTTTGAGAAAAGATTTTATTTACTTATTTGAGGGAGAAAGCAAGAGAGTGATCGAGAGAGCACAAGCAGGGGGAGCTGCAGAGGGACAGGGGGAAGCAGGCTTCCTGCTAGGCAGGGAGCCCGACATGGGGCTCGACCCAGGGCCCTGGGATCATGACCTGAACCGAAGACAGATGTTCAACCAACTGAGCCACCCAGGCACCCCAACAATGGAATTTTCAAATGGAGGATCCAGTGTACACTTATTCAACCAATGTTGGGTATCTGCTGCTGTATATCAGGAACGTGCTGGGCACGGCGGAAACAGCAAAAGAAGACAGTTTATCCTCTAGCAGAAATAATAGACATCGGACATGCTACCGCTATATACAAAATTACAATGTAGCATATTTTGGATTAGAAGACTTAAACATCTAGATTTGATAACCATGGTTACCAATCATAATTGATGCCAATCAGCAAGCACTATGATGGAAGATGCTGTGAAGAAACAAAAGATGAGAAAGATACCATCCTTGAAGGAGCTTCCAATCCAGCGGAAGAGACAAGGCAGCTTACATGTGCAGCCAGGGGACAATATGGCATGCTAACCAAAATTACCAGACTTCTTAGTTACCAGGAACAGAAACCAACTCTAGCTAAGGGAAGCATCAAAGGAAACTGGGGAGCTCAGGGAATTGCCAGGAGAGCCAGAGAACCAGAGGAAGGTCTCATACTAGAGATAGTGCCCCCATATCACACCGGTGCCCCCACCCGCACCTTCACCGGGCACAGGACACCGCCATTGGTGCGGCTGCACTGGCGCCCTAAATTTCGACCCTGTGACCCTCTGCCAGAGTCTTACCTCCCCTCCATCATCTCATTTCTTCCCGGACCAAAGCCGGGGCACATGTGCGGACTGGCCGAGTCCAGCCGACATGGCGATGCTGTGGTCCCAAAGAAGGCTGCAAAAGCGAATGTCAGGAAACTTCACATGCTTCACTGGGAGGTTGTTCCATCTCTCCCTAGATTCATAAGGTGGGATTCCTAAGCCCGAGGAAGTGGGGTTAGAGCCTGGGAGGTGAAAGACAATGGCAAACACCTACCACAGAAGGTATTCTAAGTGTCCAGACTGTTAGGAACAGTACATGGTAAGGTCGCAACTGCTCAGTTAAAAAACAAAAACAAAAACAAAAACAAAAAACAAAAAACAAAGATGGCTACAAATAACATCATTAGGGAACCATGGACTATTTAAAAGAATGTGCAAAAAATGGGTGCGGAGGCACCTGGGTGGCTCAGTTGGTTAAGCGTCCAACTCTTGATTTCGGCTCCAGTCATGATCTCAGGGTCATGGGATCGAGCCCCACACTAGGCTCTGCGCTTAGCACAGCGTCTGCTTGTTCCTCTCCCTCTGCTCCTCCCCCTGCTTGCTCTCTCTCTCTCTCTCAAATAAATAAAATCTTTTTAAAAAAATGGGTGCAGAGGGCATCACAAGAGGGAGAAACACAGAGCATAAACTCAGAGATGGAAGACTTCAGGCCACCGCTCCAACCACCGCAGGAACCACCGCCTACAGGCAGAAGAGGAAAGGCTTGGGGAGGTTTCAGCATGGTTTGCAGGGTGACAATACAAACGCCATCTGCACCTATGAAGGTGAATCTCCCCTCTAGCCCTCCTGACTTATCTTTGACTCTTCCTCCTTTTCCTTTACTTGGATGAATTCTCAACGTCAGTTGATGGGCCCATTACAGGCATCTCTCCCATTTGTCTCTCTCCATTTCATCTTTGTGCCTGGATTCCCAAAGATGATCCTCCAGCCTTCCATTTATCCTTTCAAATTGTCCCCCGTATTACTATAAGGTTAACTTTCTTAAAACCGTTCTCACCAAGTTATCCACCAGCTCAGGCGACCATAATGCCTCCCAACTGCCCACTGCATCAAATCTGAACTCCTCTGCAGGGACAAGCCAAATTGGATCACTAACTCAGAGATTCGCTACAATCGTCGTTTGCTAACAGTGAAGAGATCCACTCCACCGGCTTCAAACTAGTTTGAACCACCTGAAGTCTAGGACTCGGCATGAGCAAAATCCATATTTATAACAATTCTCTCATGAATCTTCTCTTTTCTTCAGTGAGGCATACCACTTTGAGACAAGGAATTCTAGAAAGTATCAGCTTTCCAAGGAGTGTAGGAGTTCACATCTCTAGAGCTTCCAGATTTCCACCCTCCGTTGCTCAGCTCTCTGCTTTACCTCTCTGCCTCACGGCTCATTACTTCCTTATCTACAACCTCCCCCCACCCCAGGAGCATCTTTCTTTTCATTCGTTTTTGCGTTCTGCCCCTCCTACACATCTCCTTTCCTTCTTTTCACTCCGTAATGATTTACCCTTCCTAACTCCAACAGCTGGCTTTATTGATCTTATTCTTGACCTAAAAAAAAAAAAATACCAAGATAGTTAAACCAACGTCTACGTCATTGGCAAGCTGAAGGTGTACACGGAGGAAAAAGGGGATTGACAAAGAGGAAAAAGAAAAAGTAGAAGAAAGAAGCTGAGAAAGGGAGAAAGTGAGCAGTGATATCGAGTGTTGACTGTGTTGGCCATGTACCGGATACTTTCTGTACATCCTCAAAACAACCCTGCAAGGCAGGTATGCTCATCCTCAGTTTTACAATAAGGAAACTGAGGGCTAAATGACTCACCCGAAGCCACACATCTAGTAAGGGTCAGAGACGAGACCCTATCCCAGGTAGATTAGGCCCCCTATCTTGCAACGACAGCATATTACTTCCATATCCAAGAGTAAGAAAAAAAGAACATAAAATGAAGATGGGTGGAGCCTTACCAACAATCGCTCCAAGTGTTATTCAAAAATAATAACATCATTTTCAACATGACAAAACGGAAGATTTTCTCTTATCCCAACGTGCCAATTGCGTCACTTAACCGCGAGGAAACACACAGGCACAGGCGCGCATGCTCACACACGCACGCGGTGGTTGGAAAAGCCCGTATTCTAATTCACAGCCTCCTCTTTACACTTGTGTCCAGGTTACATCTGTCCCTTTTCAGTTTCGACCCGTGCTACCCTTTTAAGATGCTCTTTATTTCTTCCCTTTTCACCTTCATTCATGCACCTCCCCCTTTTCTTCACATCACTTTCATATCAGCTCCTCCTTTTCTCTTTTATTTCATATCTCCCTCATTACCTACACATTTCCCTTACTTCTGGCGGGTGCCGCATCTAGCAGGTTCTCAGTACATATCTATTTTGGGCTCCATACTTATCTCATGTCAGCCCCCCCCCCCCCCAACGCTTTGTCTAGTCTTTCTCAAGTCCTCAAGTCAGGACTCCTTCCCCACATCCAGTTCCCACCCTGCGCCCTCTCCCTCGCCCCCGCCCCTCCATCAGTCCTCCCTGCTTCCAATAGTCGTCCCCTCCACCTCTCACCCCTTTTCCCGCCTTTTTCCCCCAATTTTCCGAAGCGCGAGGACCTCATTGTCCTCCTCCCCCATCCTCCAACAGGCCCACCAGACGGCCTTGTTACCATGACGACAGAGCTACTCGAAGCTGAAGTCGAGGACCTGGTTGCCATGGCTTCCGCTTCTCCGCCTCCAGCCCCGCCCGCGCGCCCCGCAGCGCTGGCGCCTGCGCGGTACGCCACTCGAAGGGCCTCCGAGCCGGGGCGGGACGGGGCGGAGCTTCAAACGAGAGGGAGGGAAGGAAGAGATAGGATAAGAAAGGGAGTGGAACTGGCGCGTACGGTGGCCGAAGAGGGACGCGCCGAGCCGGAGGCTGCAGGATGGTAGGCTGTGCGGAGAGGGAGGGGAGGGGGAACCGAGGGGCGTGGGCTGCACCTGCGGGGGTCCTTGGGGGCCGCCCTCTGTGAGGGCCGCCCTCTCTTCCTCCGGTCCTCAGAGGCCCCACTTACCCGGGCGGGTGGGCCAGCCGGCCTCGCAAGGAAGAGCAGCTGGAAATGGCTTTAGGGAGAAGGGGAGGGGAGGGGGCCCATATGTGGGGCGAGAGGGAGCTGACTAGGGGGCGGCGGGACCGTCCCGGGCGGGTGGGCCAGCCGGGGGGAGCGCGCGGATGGCGGTCCAGGGGGTCCCGGTCACTGCCGCAGGGAAGTCGCCCGAGGAAGAGGGGGCGCGGGGGCCTGCCGGCGAAGGGAGGCGGCGGGGTTGGCGGGTCACCAAGACCCTCTGTTCCCGTACAGCCCAGAGGAACGGCGGCCCGCGGGGAGAGCGGTGTGTGGGAGGGGAGAGTTTCCGGGTCCGAGGAGTGGCCGTCCTGCCTCGGTCTATCACCTTGCTCGCCTACAGGCTGGGGTGAGGTGGGAAAGCCAAGTGGGCTCGAGGTCTTGCTCTCCAGGACCCAGGCTTCGGATCCCCGGCTCCCGTGCTCTTGGCTCTCCGCCCCCCATCCCATTCTCTTTCCGGAGCCCAGGCCTTCCGTCTTCCTGCTGGCTTCCCGCTCCCCCGCCCCCCAATCTCAGAGGCGCACTGCTCCCTTGTGCCCCTCTGTTGCCCTCCCGCCACGCTAAGCAGCGTGTCCCTTTCCCCACCACCAAACCCCCTTGATTTCTGATTTAGCCTGCTAAACATGTACTGTTCCAAACACCCACGGATTCCAGCCCTTGGTAATGCCCAGGGAGAGGAGAACTGCAGGGAGAAGGAGCTAACTCCAGGGTGTAGACTGGACTCCCTGGAACTGGGAAACTGGGTGTGCACGGGGTACTGAGGGCTCTGCACTCCTCCCCACTCTACTCAGCATTCACTTTATTTCACAAAGCTCCAGGAACCATCCACGATGGCAGTGTCCTAACCGAGGAACTGAAAGGGAAATTGGGCACCTGGTATCTGGAGGGGAGTGGGTGCATAGCAGGAGGCACCCTAAAAGGAAAAAAAAAAAGGACTGCTGGTGGCCAGAGGCCTGCATGGCCGAGGAGAGAAGAGGGTAGAATTTACCCCTGGGCATATGCCTGGCACTGGAGGGCAGTGCACTGGGGACATCGGCAAGGGTGTATGGCTAGGATGTGGTGGAGATTTGAGGTAGCTTCTGGAGACACAAAATACCCCATTTCACCATGGTGGTGGATAGAAGGACTACAGAAGAAAGCAGACATCTCTTTGACTTCAGCTGAGCTGCTTGCCACTGTACTAGGCATTTTATTGACCTTTGGAAGACAGAGGTAGGAAACAGGAGGTGAAGGAATAATAATAGTGACACTTAATGTGTTATATAGTGCTTACCATGTGACAGGCACAATCGCATATATCTACTCATTTAATCCCTCCAAACAGGTAGGTACTTTTATTACATCCATCTTACAGACCAGGAAACTGAGGCCCTGGGACATAAAATAATCGCCCGAGGCAAATTTCTCAACTACCAGAGCCAGGATTTGAGCCCAAATGACAGACTCCAAAGCTCTGACCTGCCCCAGAAGGAAAGGCACCTACTGGTGGGAATACCCGCAGTTGACAGCAAGGGCTGATTTTTGAAGCTAGTGGGATCTGTGAATAGAGAAGCGTTAGATGCATTTGTGGGATGCTCCGTGGCTGTGTTTCTGGAGTAAACAAACCCAGAGAACCATATCTCTGACCCTCAGCTCTGCCCCCTGCCCCTAGATGCGATTCATGCTGCTGTTCAGCCGGCAGGGGAAGCTGCGGCTGCAGAAATGGTACCTGGCCACATCAGACAAGGAGCGAAAGAAAATGGTCCGGGAGCTTATGCAGGTTGTTCTGGCTCGCAAGCCCAAGATGTGCAGCTTCCTGGAGTGGAGGGATCTCAAAGTCGTCTATAAGAGGTGACTCGCCACCTACTTTCACGCTGTCTGGATCCTGCTGGATGGGGTTCTGGCAGTGGGTTCAAATGGCTGAGCAATAAGGTCAGGGAGAACTGGGAGCAAAGGACATCTGGAGGGCAGTGATAACTCCAGCTTCCTTTACTTTCCAAAATTACTTGGAAGAAATTCTGGTCCCCCACTTGTTTCGCTCATGCCTGACACCTACTTGACGCACATACTTTTGTTGCCAAGGCCTTATCCTGTCCACCACACGTGTCTCTTGCAGCCTCATTCAACAGTAACAGATCCGGCACCACCTCTCCCCAAATAAGCACGCGCGCGCGTGCGCGCGCACACACAAACACACACACCCTGGCCATTTCCTTCTCTGAGCAGGTGGATTAGTTGGCTCCGGTTTTTGCTGAGTCAAACTGAACAGGTCAGAGGGCAAGAGGCAAAGAGCTTGTGTGTTTGCCTCTGTCTTGTGAGAACCGCCAAGAGGCAGAGCGAAGTGTTTACTATTTGCATACCCCCGGGCTACCCTGCCTGCACTGGGAATGAGGAGAAATGGGAGGTTTGGGTGCACAACACCTGGGTCCTGAAGCAGGCCCGGCAGCCCCTCCAGCAACCCCACGTGTGCCCCTGCCCTCAGATATGCCAGCCTCTACTTCTGCTGCGCCATCGAGGGCCAAGACAATGAGCTCATCACGCTGGAGCTGATCCACCGGTATGTGGAACTCCTGGACAAGTACTTCGGCAGCGTAAGTCTCCCCACCCACCCTGTCCGTACTCAGCAGTCCCCTCTTTCTACCAAACCCTGGGACCCTTCCAGTCGCTGCTGGGAAGGTTTGGGAGAGGCGAAGTTGGAGCAGTGAGAACAGTAATTAATTCCCCTCTTTAAGCCTTAAGCCTATTAACCATATCCGTTAATCGGCCCCCGGGAGGGAGTATGCCCTGGAATCGGCCACTCCCATCAGTCCATCTAGAGCTCAGTTTGGATGTCCCACGGAAGGATGGAGACTACATTCAGATTTTCTCAGTGGCTTCTGACCTTGACTTTGCATTGGAATTTTCTGGAGAGTTGATTTTTTTTTTTTTTTTTAATTAGTGATGCCTAGGTCCCATGCCCAGCAAGCCTGGATTAACTGATTAGGGGTATAGCCCGGGCATGGACAGTCAGCTCAGATCTTAAGACGGGGAAAAGTAATAATTCCATCATTGATATTCCACTTAACAGTTTACAAAGTGCTTTCAGGCTTTTGTGCCTGCTCCTCATTTTATCCTGTGAGTAGGTGTTGTTATCTCAATTTTCAGAGGAGAAACCAGACTCAGAAATGAAATGTCACGTCCATCTAGCTGCATAGTGGCAGAGCCGTGCTTGGCAACCCAGTCTTTCCACCCGTGATCCAGAATCTCCTCCTTCCCTGCCCCGTAGCGCCCAGGGAGGGAGGCTAGCCTGGCCCCTGGTGAGAACAGTGGCACAGATTTTGGGGGAAAGGCAGCAGGAACCACAGCCAAGGGTAGATTAGGGCAACTCATATTTCATGTTCACAGAGAAAGAGGCAAGAGAAGAAGAAGGAAAAGTCAAACTGAGTACTAAGGCCTCGGGGTTCAGGAGTTCATAGGCCTGGGGCAGGAGCCTGAGGTGGGAGCAGTGGTCAGGAAGAAGACCATGGAGCCATGAGAAGAAAAGAGGTGGGCGGCTGGGGTGCAGGTCGGGTGGGAATGCACCTTGACATTCAACTCTGCCTTCTCCCCGTTCTCCCAGGTGTGTGAGCTGGACATCATCTTCAACTTTGAGAAGGCCTACTTCATCTTGGATGAGTTTTTGATGGGTGGTGATGTCCAGGACACCTCCAAGAAGAGTGTGCTGAAGGCCATCGAGCAGGCCGACCTGCTGCAGGAGGTACGGGCCCAGGGCAGTGAGGAGGAGGAAGAGTACCATGGCAGAGGGGGCCCGTCCTTCCCTGGACACTTTGCCTGCCAGCCACAGCTGTCCCCTTCCGGCCACCAAGGGGACCCCCCTCCCTGTGGTGTCTGGCCCTCACGGCGCCCAGTTGGCCAGCTTGCCCTCAAGCACTGACTGAGGGCTCAGGGTGGGAGGTCAGGGTGGCAGGCAGCCCGCCTGTGCCCATTCTCCCTCCTTCTCCCAAGACCCAAGGTGTCTCGTCGCAGCCAGATCTCCTCGGTCCCATACCTTTCTTGGCATTTAGGGTTGTTCGGGGAATTGGAGAGGGGCACATGATAGATAATTCTTTTTTCCCTGGTGTGTCCTCCCACCCCCCTTTTTTTTTTAACACACACAGACACACACACTCAAAAGCCTCTGCTCCTCAGAAGCAAAGGGCTGTGGGGATTTGGGGGTTGGGGTAGAGGGTGCCTGGCTGTTGGTTCTCCTGCTATCCGACGCCCCCGCCCTCACCCCATTACTGCCTGCCCCCTCTCTGCTGTGCCACTGCTGAGACTTGGTGCAGGAAGATGAGTCACCAGAATCTGCAATGACAAGCAAGCTGGCCTGAGCTGGCTCTGAGGAGGGGGAAAGATGGGGGTTCATCGCTGCAGTAGGAGAAAGGGCAGAATTGAACTTGCCACCTCACTGGTCCAACTTCCCCTTCACACACACACACACACACACACACACACACACACACACACACGTGCCCTGGCACACACACCCACCCCTGTTACTAGTGCTCTGCTCAGACCCTAATGACTCATTTCTCTGCAGTCTGGTTCACCTTCCCTCAGGGACCTGATGCCAACTTATTCCTCCCTGCCCCCACTCTGAATCAAAGGACCCAACCATCTGGCACCCCCAGCCTCCAGCAAGCAGGTTTCCCACCCCCCAGTCCCAGCTTCACTCCCTTCCCCCTCAGAGACTGAGCCCCCTGCTCCCCAAGCTCTGGTTTTGGGTTCTCTGGGTGGTGGCGGACTCAACCTGGACCCCCTCCTTGCCACAGTTGGCTCTGGGGGGTGGTCCCTGGAGACTGGGGACTGGAGACTTTTCCAGCTTTGAGCTCACAGTGGCTTTTCTCTCCCCCTTCCCTGTGTCTCTCTGTGTTCTGCCCACTCGTGATTGTCCTCGTCTTGCCCACCCTCCCCTCCCTCATTCCCTGTCTGCCTCTCCTGGTGTCTCTGGCTCAGGAGGATGAGTCGCCTCGCAGTGTGCTGGAGGAGATGGGTCTGGCATAGCCCCCCCGCCTGGGCCTCGTGGAGATGTGGGGAGCTGGCGGAGAGGCAGGGCATGAGTACCCCTTTTCTTGGTGGAACCCAGCTGCCCCTCCTCTGCTGCCTCACCTTCTCCTGGAGTGAGCTGTGGGCTCAGGACCCTCAAACATTCCTTCCCTCACCTCTATCTCCTGTTTCCCCTTTCCCCAACGAAGGTTTTAGGAGCTAGGAGGTAGGAAAATGTGACCACAAGGGGGGTGCTATTTGGCTTTCATTCCCTGCCTTTGAAGAACTAATGTTACCCCAGACTCGCTCCCCTTCCTTATAACTGTAAATATATAAATATGTCAGGTTAAAGGGAAAAGGTTTTCAGGGCTCTTCTCTTCTCCCTTGCCCCATAACCTACCTCCACCCTGCCCCAGTAGCCAGCCAGGGCAGCTTCTCTGCCTGGGGTAGGGGTGGGGGGATTTCTGAGTATTGAGAGGGAAGGCCTTTCCCCTCATCTACCCTCCTCCTCCTTGGCTGCAGTGGGGACTCTGCCCAGTGCCAGGGCAGGAACAACATAGTTAATTTTTTTCTAACCTTGCCACTTTGAGGGAAGTGAGGGCTGGGGGAAGGGCAGGCTTTATGGGAGACTGTCCCTCCTTCACTCCATGTTCTGGGTGAGGCAAGAGCTAAAGGGTGGGGTGTGGGAAGTGTCTGACTTTATCTTCTTTCCTCTAAAATAAAAGGAAAATCATTTCTGGACTTTGCTGCTTAGGCTCTGTGAAGGAAGGAAAGGCTCCTGGGATTAGTCAGGAGGGGACTCAGATGCCAGAGTTAAAGGGAAAAAACAAACAAACAAACAAATAGAGGACACCCGGTTCCATTTGAATGATAATGAATATTTTTAGGATAAGCATGTCCTATGCAAATACACTTGTTGTTTATCCATAGTGAAAATTGAACTGAGTGTCCTGTACTTTGTCTGGCACCCCTATTCCAGATGGATTTGTGAGCTCAATGCCTCTCTGAACATGGTGCCTCCAGTTCCCCGAGCTGCCTTCGGCCAGGGAGGAGCAACTCCTGGGGACATGGTTTCACTCCTAAGAGGTTTCTTTGTGGAAGATTTCATTCAGCTGGTTTAGTTTTATTTGGAGAGAGGAATCAGGGGTTCAGGGGTATAACCAACCCGGTATGCTTACCAAAGGGTTGAGGAGTGGCTAAAAGCAGCGTGTTTCTGTAGCTGGAGGCCCCTCCTCCCTGTTTGTTGTGAAGTACACAGGACCAGGGAATTTAGGGGGCAGGTAAGGGAGGCGGGTAGGTGAGGTTGGAACAGAGGCTGTGAGGAGCCACCTAAGTGGCTGGAGGATCATGGATAGAAGAGCCTTCTAAGTGGACTGGAGCTGCCCCACCCTGGGGACCGATGACTTTAACCACCACCACCACCGCCACCACCACCACCACCACCACCACCCCTAGGCTGCAAGTGGAATTTAGGCTTTCTTCATAGATACGGGCCATATTCTACTCTGAAATACGGCTGAAAGTGGTTCCACCACCCTGGCTTTTGAACAGGAGGAGATGGGTGTTGTGGCTGGCGCTTCCCTCACCGCCCCTTGGGAAGGACCACGCAGGCCCAAGGGGACGGGTGAATAACGGAGAACAAAGTCCTAATAAAATAGTCACTTTTATTTCTTAGCAAAACTATTTCCTCCGTGAGGGGTATTTACAACAGAGAAGGGAAAGAATAGGTAAATTCACAGCGATCTGGAGAGGGTGGAGAGGCTCCTGGGAGGCCCAAAGGGCAGGAGACAGACACTTCACACAATTAACTGGAACAGCTTTTTCCGGTTTTGGACGGGGACGTCCCGAGAGGGACTAGGTGGGGACAGAGGCCCGTGGGGGGAGGGGATTCGCACAAACCACCCGCCCGCCTGGGGTGGCCCCGGGGGACCTCCTTGAGTGAGTTTGGGGAGTTCGGGCTTCAAATCCGGGAAGCGGTTTGACAGGTCCCGGCGCAGCCCGGGGGCGGGGCGACCCGAGGGCGGGGGCGGGGCCTGGAGGCGGCCAGGGGCGGGGCTGGGGTGCATGCAAACACCGAGAAGGGAGAGGAGCAACACGGAGGGGGGTGGCCGAGCGCGCGGCGGCGGCGCACGGGGGCGAAACCAGGGCAGGTCACGGGCGCCGGAGCAGCACGTGCTCGATGTAATTCTCCAGCTCCTCCTGCTCCTGCATCCGGCGCTCCTCCGCCTCTGCCTCCTCCTGCGCGCGCAGCGCCTGGGCCTCCCGGCCAGGATAGTGGTGCGAAGGCGGCAGGGTGTGGTGGTAGTGGCGGCGGCGCGAGGCAGCGGGCGGCTGCAGTGTCCGCGGCCGGATGTAGTTGGGAAAAGGGTGGTAGGGCCCGGGGGGAAACAACTCGTCCTCCTCGCGATCCCAGGGCGGGAGCACCTCGTTCCAGTCGGGCAACTCATCTCGGGCGGGGGCGGGGGCAGGGGGCGGGGGCTGCGGGGAACGGACGTGGGCGGGGGCGGGGGCGGCCCGGGGGTGCGGCACCGGCTCCGGAGGGGCGTTCTTCTTCCGCTTCCGCTTCTCCTCCACCTCCTCGATGATGCTGACCACGTCGTCCGCTGGCAGGTGGAGTTTGGTGGACAGCTCAATGAGGCTGTCGATCGTCTGGGGGTCCATCTCTTCGTCGTCGTCTTCCTCCTCCCCGCCCTCCTCTGCCCCCTCAGCCTCCTTCCGACGGTGGCCGGGCATCTCTTCCTGGGAGCGCTTGTCCTCGGCTCCGGCTTCCCCGTCCTCCTCCTCTGCGAACAGCAGCGCGTTCTGCCGCGCCCTCTCCGCCTCCTCCGCCTCTGCCTCCGCCTCCGCCGCCTCCTCATCCTCTTCCCCCACCCTCTCCGCCCCGCCGCGTCTCTCCTGCTCCGCCTCCGCATCCTCCCTCTCGCTCTCTCGCTCCTCCTCCTTCTCCTGCAGCCCCCGACCCCCAAGGCCGCGCTGCCGGGCCCCGCCCTGCAGCAAATACTGGAGCAGCAGGTCGGAGGCGAGGTCGGCCAGCCGCTCTTCCTGCGCCGCGGCCTGCCGTGTGGCCTCTGCCTGGCGCCGCCCGGCCTCTACCTGCGCCAGCCCTTGCTGTAGAAGGCGCTCCCCCGCCTCAGAGCCGCCCAGGAGTGAGCTCTCCGGACGGCGCGCCTTGGGGAAAGGGGCACCCAGGCTTTGGTACGCCTTGGATAGGGGTGCCAATGCCTCACCTAGATGTGTTTTGGGGGAGGACACTCCTTCCCCGAACTGGTGGGCTTCAGGAAGGGGCCCACTCTCGGGTATACGCGCCTGGAATTGCGGGGGAGCAGGGGGTGGCAGGGGCGCGCGCTCCGGGACGCGCGCCTGGAACTCTCCCCAGGAAGCGCGCCACACGCGCTCCGGCCCGGGGCTCTCCAGGTTGACTCGGGTCAGCGTGTGTGTGCGAGTTTCCGTCTCTGCTGCCGCTGTCTCTTGCTGGCGCTTGGCGTTGCTCGGACTGAAATCTCGCAGTTCCTGGAGCAGGGAAGCTAGCGCCTCGAGCTCTTCGGAGGGGTCGCCAGCCTCGGGACCATTCTCCTGAGTCTGAGGGCGAGGCGGGGCCGCAGGTGCCTGGGTCTCTGGCGCCGGGAGGCTGTGGGTCTGGCTGCGCACGGTCTCGGTCAGCAGAGCTTCTGCTGCTTCTTCCTTTGGCCCCTGCTGGGAGGCGCCGGGCGCCGGAGGCGAGCCCGGGCGGTCAAGAGCCTGCAGCAGCACCGCGGCCAGCGCCCGGGGATCCACGCCCTGGAAAAGCTCTCCCTCCTCCTGAGGCTCGGAATTTCGAGCGGCTCGGACCTCTGGGGCGCTAACATCCTTCGGCCCGGGCACTGCGTCCCCAGCTACCGGCTCTTTATGTTCAGAGCTGAGGGGAGGTGGCTGCGCCTCAGGGTGCCCCGGGGGCGCTGCTCCCAACCCCTTGATCAGTAGAAGAAAGCAGAAGAGGGTGGAAGCCGGCAACCTGAGCGATTTCATGACCAAAGGACTGCCGGAGACTGTGAAAAATAGAAGGGACCAAAGAAAGAGGGTTTCTGTAAGAATTTTTCGCTCTCTGATTCTATATCCCCTTCCCCCACCTTTAATCGGGAAATCCAGGGCTTCCCTCATCCCCCTAATAACCTTACCCAGAAGAGGAACGTTTAGGAGCAAAGGAGAAAGATGTTGTGCCGATCTCTGGAGTCGTGTAAATGGGAAAACGCCCGCAACCCTCGCTCCCCCCAGTGCCTCCTCGCCCCCTTGCCTAAGCCATCTCACTGCCAGCGCCCACGTACTAAGCAGCTAAGATAAGGGGAAAAAAATCTCTGCTCCCTCCCCACAGGACTCCCCGGATGGTGCGTGGGCGACTTTAGCAGCAAGAGAAAAGCGGCGACTCCCCCATTTACCAGGGACCCTTACCGGGGGCTCCCCGCTGTGTTTTTAATACCCCCATCCGGGAGGAGAGAGAACCCTCCCTCACGCCCACGGCTGCCGAGGGTTTGAGGGATGGACAGCGGAGTATTTACCAGCTGGTGTCACGATGCGGGAGGTGGAGAGGAGGGTCTGGGCGGGGTGGGGACAGGGGAAGATCGGGACGCGTCCGCCTCGGCTCCGAGCAGTGGCTGGGATAGGAGCGACGGTCGAGTTCTGGCGTCCAGTGGGTTGGGCTCAGCTGGGTCCGCGCGGCTCTGGGCGACTCGCTCGCTCCGGCTTCAGCACGCTGGACAGCGCCCGCGCCGCCGCCGCCTTATAAAGGGGAGAGCGCGGGGTCACGTGGGTTCGCCCCGCCCCATTGACGTCAATGTTCATTCATGGGGAAGCGGGCGGGCGCCTCGAGGTGGGGGGCAGCCCAGTGATTGGAGAAGGTGTTCTTCTCCCGGCCCGCGCCTGCGCGCCGGGAGCCTCGGCTGGAGGGGCGTGCGCTAGCCGAGCACCCGGGAAATGAATGAATGAATGAATGAATGAAATCTCCGGGGCGGGCGGGGCAGGGGGCTATGAATGAATGAAGGAGGGACGAGGAGAAAAGGATGAATGAATGAATGGGAGAATGAATGGAAGGGTGGATGCAGAGACGCTGCAAGGCGGGAGGGTGGGTTACAGAGCAACTTGCAGCTGCGGGAGCCCGCGTCGCTGAGCCGAATAGGATGGGGGCACTCCCAGAGTCTGACTGGGCATCAGTAGGAGATCCATACTGGGGAGGGGAGGATAAGGATTCCAAAGCCGAGGAAGGGGCCGGACTCCCCATCTCCCGACCGCACGCACGGTCCACGGGGAACACACCCAAGGACGGCGTGAACCCGAGAGAGGAGGGACGGATCTGCGCGCCTGCGGGCGCTGTTCGCGGATCTGCGGTGCGGGGTGCCGGGCCCGGGCCGGGGCAGATGGGTGGATCTTGCGGTTTTGGTAATCCCGTTGGAAAGGGTCCGAGTCGGAAGAAAGGGGAAAGACTGAGGATGTGTGTGCCTCTATGTCGTGTCTGTTCACAGTCGGTGCGTGTTTGGAGAAAAAGGTGTGTCTGTCCTTCTGCCCAGCTCACTCTGTAGCGTATGTTGGCGGCCGGGCTTGCCCCTTCTCAGCCCACCTCTCCCCCTCCCCCGACCCTCCTCCTGCTTCTTTCCCTCCCTCTGCTTCCCCCCAAAGGACGTTTGGAGGGCGAGAGCAGACCAGGTGGGGAGGGGGTTGCGCAGGTTGGGGGGGGTGACTCAACTCCAGCTCTCTACACTGCTTAAAGGAAAGGTTTGAACGCGTTGCAGACGGGTGGGGGTGGGTGTGCAACGTCAGACATAGCCCCTCTCTACCACTAGACCCCTCGTCCGTATCTCCTGCCAGAGGCGTTGGGGTTGGGGGCTTGGAAAGCTAGAGGTTGGGGGGGGGGGCGATGACGCACAGATTGCGCAAAGAGAATCCATCAGCGAGCCGGGTCCAGTGAA